CATCTGCAATTATGTATGTGTATGTGTATATTTGTGTTTATATGTATATATATATTTATATATATATATACATATATAAATATTTATTTGCATATTTATGTATATATGTATATACAGTACGTGTGTCTATGTGTGTCTGTCTATATATATTTTATATATATATACATATACAAGTATGTATATGTATATTTGTGTAAATAGAGTACGTTTATATAAATATGTTTATATATATATATACATGTAGAAATATGTATTTGTATATTTATGTATATATGTCCATACAGTACATGTGTACATATGTGTCTGTGTATATCTATATATAACTATATTTATATACACATGCATATATGCATTTATATGTATATTTGTATAAATATATATACATATATAGTGTGAATATATATATACATATGTTGCCAATTTTCTTTTTAAAGAACACATTATTTTATTACATGTTAAAATATTTTAAACATGTGAATTAGTTTTTTATCAGTTGAATTTATTAGATCCAGCAGTCAGATTATTTCAAATGTTTCTCCCACAATTAAAATCCTAGAACTCTTTTCTCTTTTACTGTCGACAGTTAATTCTAACCACATTTTCTCACACTGAAAAAAAAAAACAGCATTCGATTAAAGAGCTGCATATATTTTCCTTTTAAAATTTCTTTGCTTTTTTTTTCTGCCCAGCTCTGGTATGCACGACTGCTGCTGCTGCTGCTGCTGCTGCTGCTGCTGCTCCTGACTCCTGACTGCCAGATGAGTGCTCGGAGGGGTGTTAAGGGACGAGCTCACGGATCGATGTCTCACTCTGCTCAGCCCAGCTGTAGCTGTTGTCTCTCACACAGAGAGGCTTTGTCTGAGCTCTGCAGAAAAACAGCCCGTAACAAGTGTTTACCGTCTGCCGCCTCAGGCCTGAGCCGGGGCCTGCGCTCGCTGCACGGTAGCCGCTGTAAGCTCACACTTGGATGCTGTTAATACTGTACACATCGCTTTGTCTGAGGGGCATGGCCGGGGCGGGGGGGGCAGGGGGGGTAAACACATAAATATACTCGGCCAAATCTGCTCACCGTAGTGAGCGTAGTGTCATCTGTCCTCACTCTCTCTCAGACACCAGACACATTTACACACACACACACATGCTGACGCACACTGGGTTCCTGACCCCAGACTGCAGGCCGCTGCTGTTGTTAATTAAAACCCGGTTCGTAGGTTACTCCCAGTTACACACCAGGGATCATACTGCTGTTACACAGACACAGCTCATTATGATTTTCTTATTTCTTTCTTTCTTTCTTCCTCATGTCTATTGTAGGTGTGCGAAGGCATCGGAGCCTCTGTGAGGAACCTGGAAATACTCAGACAGAGGTAAGATGAGAAGAGGAGGGAGGAGGTAAAAAAAAAAAAAAAAAAAGGTGGAAATGTGGAGAGAAAATGAGACAGAAAAAAAAAAAGCTCCCCTCGTTTTCGTCTTCCTCTTTCCTGCTCTCCTTTTCCCTCCACCCTTGGCTTTTCAGCTGGGTTCAAAACATCTGTCAGCACTCAGACGACGGTGGTGAGGAGGAGAGAGTGCAGAGGGCCTGGTATGTGGAAGGCCCGGCCCAGGAATCAGTGGAGCCGCTCGGCTCGGCACGTCTGCCTTGTTTATTTGCCCTGACCCCGCGTTCCCCGCGAGGTTAAGGGACCTGCCGCAGTGAAAGGAGCCATTGTCCTGCAGGAAAAATCTGGTACAAATATTTACCAATGGGGGGAGGATGCAAAGACGGGGCTCGCAGCCAGCCAGACGAGCTGTAAAAAACGGCCAGAGTGCATTTTTGAATAATCCACTTCCACACCCTTTTCCTTTTACCTAAGGTTACAAAAATCTGCCCTCACGTCCCCATTACTCACATCACACTGCAGGGACTGTTTTAACATCAACATCGTAATACAGTCCTGATGAAGTTGGTACACTGCCTTAAACGTGTTTTAGCCGTGAACTTTAATTTAATAACCAAAAAAAAAAAAGAAAAATTACATTTTTCCATTTACAGACTTGACTGATTTTATTGAACATGGAAGAATATAGAGATTGATGCAGCCAGAATGAAAATGCAAAGTTGTACAAAAGTCGTAAAAATAACTATTTTTACAGCTCTTAACGGTTAACGGTTTATAGTCTTCACTTTGGTTGCGAAATGAACGTCTAACCGGGGGCTGTGTCGTACAGGTCGGATGGGGAGAAAATCTGTAACAATAAACCGGTTCATCACAGGAGATCTAAATATTTGTGGAAGCAGAATTGATCAAAGGTTATGAGCAAAAAAAAAAGAAAAAAAAAAACATCATGAATTTTTCAGCAGATAGTCTAGTGTTTGATTGGCCTGCCTGCGGTCCAGATCACCGTGAAGTGTCCAGTCAAATATCTGGTTTGTCAATAACGGCCCGATATTAACTTTTTACCGATATCCGATTCGCCAATATTGTCCAAACTATTATTGACCAATAAAGGCCTGGTAACATTTATTGAAACCACTGTATGAGTCTGAGATTAATTGAATGAGCTACAATGCTGCCATCTAGTGACTTGTACCTTAACATACAGCCAGTTGTCCCCGTAACTATTTTTATGGCACACAACATTTGGCGAAACCCAATCATTGCGATATCAGGTTTTAATTATCGGAGGAAAAAACCATAACGATTCATCCAGATAATATATAATATGCTAATATCGGTGTCCGATAATATCAGACACCGATATTATCGGACATCCCTGGTACCAACTTCTCTGGAAATGGGTGTCGTAGAGTGTCACTGAAATTAAAACCCTCCTGCATTTTAAACAAACATGTACTGATTTGCTCCACTCAACAGCCCCCCCCTTCCTCCCCCCTCGCTCCCCC